CCCTCTGGCAGTTTGAAGCCATTCCCACTTGTCCTGTCCCTCCATCCCTTGGAAATAGTCTCTCTCCATCTTTCCTGCAGCCCCTTGAGGTCCTGGAAGGCCACAATCAGGTCACCCCAAAGCTTCTCTTCTCCAGTCTGAACAATCCCAGTTTTCCCAGCCTTTCCTCATAGGACAGGATCTCTATCCCTCTGATCATCCTGGTGGCTCTGAACAGCTTCCTTTCACCCCAAGTCTCACATAATGCCCCAGGACCTCCCTTCTCAGTAAATGACAATCACCTGTTAATTAAAATACCCCTCACAAGACACCACCCGGGGGATGTGTTTTAATGCCTAAAATAACCAGTGAATCCCTGACAATGCTTTGACTCAACAAGGTTTGTGAAATACCAGCACATGGATCCATGGAGGAAAACGGGAATGAGCAGACAGGGAACTGCCAGGCTGTTCCTACCTGTCCTGGGGGTTCCTGCAGAGTGGGAATTCATCTCAAAAAGACAGTGAACTACATCTCCATGAATCAGGGAATCCCAGAATGATTGGAAGGGTTGGAAGGGACATTAAAAATCATCTAATTCCACCCCCTGCCATGGGCAGGGACACCTTCCACCAGCCCAGGTTGCTCCAAGCCCTGTCCAACCTGGCCTTGGGCACTTCCAGGGTTCATTTCCTTTGGAATAAATGAAACCTGGAGCACATCTCTGTACAGGATGCTGGAACTCCCCTGACTTCACCTCACCAGGAGAGTGGGAGCCCAAGCAAACCCAAGTGCCCATCCCACCACCCAGCTCTGACCTTCCCTGAGTTGTGCTGGTTTAAGATATATTTGCTATCAGCAACAACCAACAACATGAAAACTTATTTCCTGAAGGAAAATTCCTACAGAAATCCATGTTAAGCTTATTTGCTGCCAAGAGAGGACACTCCCATTCACAGGAATCGTTTATCACAAGGAAAAAATTGTGAAAGTAAAATGATACTTTGCCTATCAACCTGCTTACAGAACAATCTGAATAAAACTAAAAAAAAAGTCACATGAATCTGGTGCATTCCCTTTTAATTCATCCTCCATTAAGAAAGAATATTAATTAATATGGATATTTTATTACTTATGTTAATTAATAAAACACAGACCAGCAGCTCACCTGTCACAACTCAGGGTTGCAATGTACTGGCCTAGAGGATCCCAGGTTACTCCTTGGACATAACTCTTGTGCTCATTAAATATTGAAACCTTCTGTCCTGGAATTACAAACAGCTTTCAGATCCCAAGCTCAAACGTGTTGTAAAACATTTCTTCGTTACAGAAATGAAACAAGACAAAAAAATTAAAGTGTTAATTTGATGGTAGCTGGAAAAAATAGAAGAAATAGTTGCTTTTAAAGTCCAATTTAAGGCTTGTTTGCTACAAAGTAACTCAGATAACTCATTTCTACAGGACATGCTGTAACAGTTTGTAACTCAAGGACTTCCAGTCCCTCAATCCCACTGCAGTGAGATGGGAATGAACACAACTGTTTTGCCTAATGGAGCTTAAAAACAGTCACATCTTGCAAAACAGAGTCTGAATCCTGTATTGCTTCCCATTTTTCACCTAGATCTCAAAACATGGAATCATGGAACGGTTTGGGTTGGAAGGGACTTTAAAGATGATCCAGTTCCACCCCCCTGCCATGGGCAGGGACACCTTCCACCAGCCCAGGTTGCTCCAAGTTTATCCAGCCTGGCCTTGGACACTTCCAGGGAT